TGAATTACTTCTGAAAACTCAGTGTCTGCTTTCCAATGGCACCTACAATAGTGCTGTGAAATATCTGATAATTGAAATCTTTCAAAATACTTCTGGAAGACTGATATATTAATAGTTACCAAGATTGAAGAATGCACTTCTATTATTCTCCAAAAAAAGAAGTAATACATGAGAGTTTTATCAGCCTTTCAACAGTAAACAAAATGCACTGGAACATTCAAGCCAATTTCACTGGTTGGGAGAGTAATCAACACCCAGAAAATTAGGACAAAATTTTCTGACTGAACCACAAATTAACTGTACTGCATTACAGAACTGAGCAATTACACTTTAGATCACACTTTACAAAATCTGAGACATTCATTAAAGGACAGGTGATGGTTTAAGGCAGTTCCAAATCTCCTCCTAGGGCACGGGGATCACGTGGTATGTTTAAGTCATCTGAAGACTGTAAAGCAAAATGTCGTATCTATCTGCCCCCTATTCACACCAGCCAGCAGGCAGAAGCCAGTCCAAAGTACACACAGATATATATTAAAAGACATGGTCATGGCTGCTGCTGTGTCCTCCTACTTCTGAGGGAAAAAAGGAGGCAAAAATTTTCCAAGCAAAGCTTTGGAAACTCCCAGAGTTGAGACTTTTACATCAAACAATGCATTAAGAATATCTGGGAGGGAAAATCCTGCACTGGCAGATAGGAGGACTGGGTGATCTACAATGGTCTGTTCCATTTTTAAATTCTATCATCAGATTTGTCCTCAAGTACAAACCCTCTAGGAGTTTCTTGGGGGCGGTGCATCCTTCCACAACCCCTACTGTGGGCTCTGGCTTAAAAGCCACAATAGAGTCCTTAGAATCTAACAACAAGAGCTATTCTAGGCGCTGGTTAGGAAAATGGGATTTAAAGGAAGTTTCTACTATTGTGCAAAATTAGGGCAAAAAATCTCCTTTCAGATAAGCAACAAAGTATATCAATTCCAACAGTTTGCTCTCCTGCTGTTGTATCCATCATAAAGAAAGACAGTCTTTCTATGGTGAATAAAGGTGATCGTCTAATCAATTAAGATTTCATAGAAAATACGGAACAATTCATCTGTCTGCCCCACCCTCTTCCCAGGTTGAAACAGGACCTTTCCACTTTACTCTGCATGTCACTTTTGTTAAAATGACAGGCACCTCACAGAAAACACCAAACATACATGTAGAGAGAGAAGAATTCCCATTTTGAGATCCACCATAAAAGTGAAGATTTTTGAGCTATGAATTTGATTGCTCTATGTATTGGACAATTGCTTATATAGAATGGTATGTATTGGTTTTGTATATGTATTAAAGTCTGACCATGCTTACATTTATTTTGATTACACCAATATTATTAAAGGTATTTGTGAAACTGATGTGAAGTGTGCACTGCATACAAGTACTAGTAATACAATTCACTGACCTCACTATCATCCACGACAGTTCACTGATTCAGTTGACCGTGGTCAATATCACCATCAAGCACCATCTGTTGCAGAATATCATGGATTGTGGCAGACTTGGGTTTTTTTACACTTATTGAAAACAGACCTTTCAGCTGAAGTTTGGAAACTGATTCCCTTTAGCCATAGACATGTAATATGTTAGTCATTCATTTATCCTATTTTACTTGAAGATATCTTAGAGACTTCCAGCTCCTCCACTGAAGGATGAAGAAACCTCAAATGTTCATATGTATTCACATTCTTAAAGTTAATGTCACTTCATAAGGACATTAAATTCAAGTTGGTATAGCTTTTATGCTGCAGCTTTAGCCTCTAATGACAAGAACAATGCCAGACCATAGCTACATTTTCTCTTTATCTGGCTATAAATTGCAAGTAAGTTCATGATTTGTGATCACTCCACGTGCAGAAAATATAAGTAGAAAAATAAGCATTAAAAAATTTAATTTAGAAGGTTAGCATTGAACTTGCAATATCTGAAATATATTCTAACAGAATTTCTCTGTTGCTGGTATTTGTTTAAGAGGGTTTGCCTTAATAAACAAAAAAGAAACAATAAAAAGAACAATAAATTCAAAAAAGCATGGACTGATGCCTACATGAAATGCAGAGAAAATGCATAGACAAAAAGAACGAAAAGATATCCCCTAAAAATAAACTATAAAATAAGACATTAAACTACAGGTAACATTACACCTTACTTACCTAATCTACTAAAAAATCCCAACCAACCAAACAAAAACCCCAAACAAAAATAAAAACAAACCAAACACCATAACCAAAACAAAAACACAAAGGCATTTGCATAATGCACCAATTTTATTTAACTTACCTAGAGTTCACACTGTGATTCATAGAATCTGTTGTTCTCCTCTGAGGTTATGCTGCTGATGCTTTCGAAGTATTGAACTTGCAACACATACTGTCTTACTGAAATATGTCTTTTTAAAAGCCCAGGCAAGGAAAGTAAGTGGTTCTGGATTGTATTTGAAAATATAATTTATTTTACCTGATCATTCCAGCATTTCCAACCACAAAGACAGTGTCATAGTCAGAAGTGTTTCTAGTTGTGAGAACTAACAGTCATAAGATTTTAAAATTAAAGATAACTGATAACCTGACACAGACAGATATATTTTACAAACATCCCTATAGCACTAAAAACTGTGAAAAGAACCAATATTTGTATTAAGAATTCCCCATCCCCAATAACAATCCTGGAACATTTATTTAAGGGAAGGAGAAGGAATACGCACAAAGAAGGATTGTCTTCTTGCGAATTTTAAACTAAGCTACTTCAGAAAGAGGTGACATATAGAAATGGAAATTCTCAAACAATTGCTTTATTTCTCTAGACAAGGCTGGGCTAGAGTTGACACAATGATTTCAGATGTTTCTAACTTATATTATCATGTAGTGTACACAGTCCCCTGAAAGCAGTTACTGCCCAGCCCTGCTCTTTGCAGAAACTCTCTTTTTATATATATCACTTGAGATTTATCCAAGAGTTGAGCTAAAAAGGATCTAGATGTGTTTTAAACACAGAGAAAGAAAGGCAGAACTGATGTACCCTGATGCTTATATCTTCGTGACATAAGGCAGACATCCCTACTGCAATTTCAATAAAATGCTATGATCTTACGATATAGTACTGCCATGCATGTTAATAGGACTCAGTATAGTAAACCTTTCCACTAGAGAGTCTCTGCACTCTTAGCAGAATTGATGAACAGCCTATGGAGATCAGCTTCTCTCAGACTCAATTGATTCTTAGAGCTCTCTCATCCTAGGCCAAATGAAAATCCACAGAAACAATCACTACATGCACCTCTTTTTTTTTTTTTTTTTTTTTTTTTTTTTCAGGAAGTATCTGCAAAATATAAAATAGCTTAGTTTCCATAACTGGAAGCATAAATAAGCAAGCCAGGACTGCAGACAGAAGAGGGGTTGTATGCCTGGTGGGGAGAAGGCTTATTGAGCCTTGAGAAGGTTCAATAAGCCTTTCAGATGTTAGTCATGAAGCAGTGGCAAAAAAAAGTAAAGAAAGAGGTAGGGGAAACAGTTAATAGGTCAAAGAGTATGAACACCTACTAAGAGCCCTACCATGCTGCAAATTGATATCTCGTTCTCTTTCCCCATCTGGTCTGTTACTAGATCATCAGACAGTAGGATGTATCCAGCATGTCCCTGGATTTCAACCCACTTTTGAGAGTTGTGTAGCAAATTCAGCTGGTCTAGCTACTCACAACAGCACTGGCTGCTGTATCATTCCTCTTTGTAGCACTGGCCATCCCTCCAGTACTTTTGACACTCTTCTTCTTTGATTACTTTTCATCCCATTGAGAAGCTCCAAGTCCAATTTGGATTCTCTGAAATTGATATAATTTAATTTGAAACATTAGCAACTCTGTTAATTATCTCAGTCACTGTAGTCACTATGTGAGAAAAACCAGTGATGCCTGAGGAAGGCACAAAGGCATAACTAACCAGCACTGTAGAGGAGCGTAGAACAGAAAGACCACTTACCAAGTCACAGATGCTTTACTGTGTACTGATTTATATTTTATATATCTTGGTGATCACTACAGGAACACATGTATCTCACATGAAAGTCCATTTAGGGACCTTACCATGTTGGAATCAGTAGAGTGTTTTTATTTTATTGATGAATGGCATTTGATGCCACTATCACTGTTTCTCTGCAAAGGAAATTAATGCATCAAACCTTATTTTGTAGGTGTTGCTATGAAATTCACTACATCTGTGAGGAAAATAAGAGAAAGAAAAGTGTCAGTCCAGTATAAAACTTGATTATACAGAAATTAAATCCACAAATTGATGTGTAGAGCAAAATGTCTTGCAACTTACAACATAAAAAACCCCCCACCTAATAGGAATCACAGTCCTGTCTGTGATCACTGATTTTTTATTTTGTCAACAGCACTGTCCTTTGATCACCAAGCTACTGCCAGCATCCTCCTAGTCCAGCCGATCATGTAAATGAATCCCTTGTATATATCCTTATACCCTCTTGTGGCTGACATTAGGCAGTATTAGTTACAAATACACTGCCAATTTGAAAAGAATGAAGAAATATAGAATAATAATTTTAACTTCCCATATAGTTATTTCAAATGCTTTCTATGATTGTCTTTCCTTTTCTACACATCACAGCCATTCTCTTCAGATTTGTATTACAAATAAAACTCTGTGTAAGTACACATTTGTACTACTATAAGATAATTCTGAAATTACAAAGCTACAGAAAAAGAATAATGAAGGTTTTAATGTCATGCAACTACAGAACTGAAACTTGTCATTAGTTAAAAACTAATTGCAAATTCCCTATATAAGCAGCATATGCTTCACAAACTTTTCTTCAAGGAAGATGACAGAGGTCCTAAGGATAAATAATGTGCCAGATTCTTTAATAGCTTTAATCAGAAGCTTAATGCTTTGACCACTCTTTTTATCAACAGGTACTTTAGAAGCCTGGTCTGAATAGTTCATTGTCTAGACCAGTGTGGCATAAACCTACAAAGCATCACATCTTCAGGGGTAAAAACTCATGACAAAGATAAATACTGACCAGACTGTAGGATTTTGTTTGAGTGTTTTTTAGGCGTTTCAATCCAAATTCAGCGTAACATTTTAAGCCTGTGATTAAGGTTCCACTGAAATCAAAGCATTCACAGCATGTGCCTGAAGTTCAGTGTTTCCATAGGGTTTTTTTGAATGTAGCTAGACTGTTAAAAAAAAACCCAACAAAACAACAAAAGTACAATGCTGTTAGACATTTCGTCAATTTGTTTCAAGAATACGGGTCAAGCTGATTAATAAGTTAAGACAATACCATCTGCATTTCTAAACTGAAACTTCATAAACTGTTTTCATTATCTAGATTGAAGTAAAACCAAGCAGAGAAAAAAGATAAAGAGAGAAATGACTTTTTAACTTCTCTGTGAAAACATTATTTCTCAATCATGATTCCTGTTAATATTCCACCAAGTCAATTATAATGTAATGACAGAACAGACTAGTGATTTAGTGAGTTACCTGCTGAAAAGTCAAGTATGACAGAAGTTGGTGCAATGAGGTCCAAGAAAGTGGTCTTCAGCTTCCTTTACAGAGGCCATCTTTGTCAGTCTCACTATTGCTTTTTCTTGGACCCTACATGAGATGCAAAGCCATATTTGCTAATTTACTTTGGGTTAATGGCTTGAATCTGTGGGCAAGAGTAGATAAAGAGGGGATTTAAAGTAATTCCAATTGTTAAAGTAAAAATGAAATTCAGGTAATAAAACCAGAAAGCCTGGTGTTGGCATCTAAGTGTTATTATGCAATATTCCAATTCAGTATTGTGCAAATCAGATATTAATACAGACAATGATTTACATATATAAAGTATATGTATATACACACACTTTCATATGCATAAATCAAACTTAGGTATTCGTGTGTATATGTACAAACATATATATACACAAGGTATAATCTATTTAAGAGAAAGAAGCAGAAAAGCCTACAGTGCCTTTTCTGATTGTTACAGCTAGTAAAGGCATTAGCCAGATGTTGAAACTCACAGGCATCAAACAACAGTGATCATTATAGTCTTCAATCACCCCATTTAGAATTTACAATAAGCTAAGCAGAAAACCATTATTTCCACCTTCAATATAAAGTTTTCCTCTGTCTGAAAACAGAATTCTGCAATGGACTGATGCACCATCTGTTCTAACTTCAGAACCCTTTTCCGTGAAACTTCCAGCAAGGGGAACAAGCTATTGATGAGACCCAGGAATATAAGGACATCATTAGTGAGTATCATAATAAGATTAAAATCCCTTGAGGGCTCTCATCAAAACCTAGATTAAAAAGAAACAAAAAAGGAGAGAAAAGACTGACATTATAGTAACAAACCATAATATAAGGCATAAAATTAACAAACATTATGAATTAATCATACTTAGACAATTACAATCCATATGGCTAGTTAAACTCAATCTGCTACCTGTAGTGACATAGTCTGGATACTGTATATTCAATGCCAGTGCATTTCTCCCAGGATGTAATTACTTAATTTTGTGAATGAGAAAATGATGTGTAAAAGCCAATGTTTCCATGGATTCAATGCCCCAAGTCAGATAAAATGCATGAATGCTTACCAAATCTCACGACACTTTTTAACCCTATTTCATCACACTTGTATTACCTTCAGGTATGTAGAAACAGTGAATCACCTTCACACTCATTACTACAGTTAATACAAGAAACAAACTGGGTTCAAAGATTAGTTTTCTACAAACAGGACTCTTAGGATTTAGATGTCAATGAATGGCACAAGACTGATTAAATCAGTAATTCTGGAGGGTTTTTTATCACTTAAAGCACACGCGTTCGGATTCTGAGAACAACTACTTTCTCCCTTCCATTGCACCTACATTCAGACAGATTTCAATCTCTCAGAGGACTTGGCACTGAGATTCTGGTTCAGTCCCCTCTTTTGTCACATATAGCATGTCACACGTGGTGACATTATATAATTCAATGATGTGGGATGCTGCAATCTCAAAAAATAAACAAACAAACAAACAAACAAAAAACACAAAAGAAAAAAAAAACAGACCAAGCCAACTCTAATATTTTAGTCCTGTGTAGACTCTGTAGGTAATTTCAAGCTAATACCTGGTCCTTCCTCATACGAAGTTCTGGGGTCCAACCTGTTCTCCTAGAACATCTAGAAGATTCTCCTAAAATGGTTTATATCCATTATAAGCAAATCAGTTGGGCAATACAACAATATAATTCATCACTGTTCTTGTTCTCTGAACAGATCTGATTTCAGAAAACATGAACAATGAAATTAATAACATATACACATTACAAAAAGGGACTTGTTACATGAAAGAAGACCAATAGGTACCTCAGAACTACCTCAAGATTTATTTCAATTCGTTATTCAGACCAGCCTGCTAGAATGAGGAAAGATTGAGGATATTCTTGTATCACAGAATCACGTACCTACCAGAGGACTGGTTTTGGAGGGAGGAGAGGATATCAACTTTCACTTACCTCCTAGGAACTTTCCACAATGGTGATAGTACAGATCGATGGCAGATGGCATTCTGGTCATTTGTTGCAACTTTAATGCTGAATAACCACTGGCACTCAAGGAAACTAAATGGTTATGAAAAATATTAAAAATAGGTAGGACTAGTAAACCACACCATGAATAACAACAAAACCAAAATATTTTATGAAATTGTGAGGATTTAGTGGACCTAAGACACTGACATGCTCATAGGAAATTATCATCTGCTCTTTCCTGTTTAAGTATCAGAAAGTAATATCAAAACCCAACACAGCTCTATAAGCTCCAGGTTTACTTCAGTCCTTTTATTTCAGGAGCACAATCACAACAAAGATATTGAATTACTTTGAGACTCTAGTTATAGAAATCCAAGTTACTTTGCATCTTTAAGTGAAAGTGCAAAAGAAATATGTAATGACTGTTTGAAATAAACAGACACTTGTTATCCCCAGCATTACATACAAAGCATTTCTGGTTTGGGATTCTCCTTTGTTTTCCTCCAGTGGACAGGTACAAAGAAATGAAACATTTTCACTTTCCCAATCTCTAACTGGTAGGCATTATTTAAAAAATATGTACTTCCTTTGGGTCTATAATCTCATTTATCTTCAGTATTTCTGACTTAGGACATCTACTACATCATGTGATTCTAGAGAGGACATTTGGCTTCCTTCACAGACATTATGGAGTGCTCTGAATCTATTTAAGAGTTATGCTGGGCTTTCATGAGCAAACTAATCCCAGAGACAGCACAGGAGGTTTCAGAACACAAAAGAAGCTTTCTCACTGTCTGAGAGCAGAGTCTTGGTCCTGATGACTGTGACCAGTAAATGCTTCCCTTATTCAATAATAAATACTTCATTAAAGAAACCAAAGGGAACTCTAGCCAGTCTAGTGGAATTATTAATGCACATTTTGAATGGTTACAATCATTCAGCTTTCACCCACATGCTTTATAATACCTTGTTAGAAGCGCTATACTCACCATGAAATCCTGTGCTTGTCATGACTTATTGCTTAATTAAAATAATGTAATCAAAAACCTCACAGAACAAATGTTGACTGAAAAAATTATGCTAATCTTATATGTATCTACTATTCACACATTACTTTGAGCAGAATAAGTTGTCTAATGCGTTAATAAAATGAAACATACCCAACTATCTTGTCAAATGCTATTTTTATCTCAGCATTTACATACATTTGTCATGAAGAGGGTACATTCTGAGTAAAAGGAATAAACACTGTTATGATTAAACATGTCTGACATGATGTTCTCATCTGAGCATCAGGAAATGCCACATGCATAGGAAACTTGCATTCATGCAGTCATAAAGCCAATGGCCTCATCAAAATCAAACTTACAGAGTGCAGGACAGCTTTATTTAGTAAGGAGATGCATCTTACTGCGTTACTTAACATAATCACTTAATGTAATGCAAATACACTATATTTGTTTTGAATTTGGCCCTGAGCACTCAGACTAAAAACATGGCACTACAGCTTGGTAGGATTGAACACTGCATTTCACTGAGACTAGAAGAATCTTTGTGCAGAAGAAACTGAGAAAAATCTTCTCACTGTCTGCAGTTATGTCAGGAAGTTATCAGTGTCAGGAAGCAATGGAGACCCACTCCCCTCACACAGCCAGACATGCTTAACTCTCTGCATCAGGAAGGACTTTAAAAGTATTGCACTTACAAAAATTGAGAGCTAAGGAAAAAGAGAAGAACAGAAAGACTATAAGGAGAGGGACTGGGGAAGTGGTGCCATTTGTCCCTTTGGAAAAGGCCAGGTAAACCTATATAATTATGCACCCCAGTTTTCTCAGAAAGGACAGGTCTTTGAGCAGCCTTCTTTCCTCTGCTCTCTGAAGGTACTGGAAAGAGATAATCAAGACCTGAGCTTATACAGGAGTGTACACTAATGACTTGCCTGCTTTCTCTCTTACTGCTGCTGGCATTCGAGTACAATGCCAAGAGTATTTCTCACATTCTTGCTACTGAATATGCTGGGAATCCTCTATAGCCCATTTCTAATGGATACTGCCCTGCCCCCCAAATTCTTCAGTATGCTCGCCTAGCAGCAGCATTACCAGGAAGTTTAATTTTTTTCCTCCAGCACCCATTTAGATACAATACAATGTGAAGAGATAGATTAACTTTCTCACAAGTCTCCTTGAATTTGCAGCTCGTCTGATGTCAATGCTACTTCACACAGTAGTCTGAAATCACCATTGTATAAGCTCCGCAGGGGGGAAAGAAAACATGAACATGGGAGACAGAGCTGCACTGCCACCATCCTCTCACTATATTGTTGATTATGAGAATTTGTGCCTAATCCATAGATCAGTCAAAAGTATCAGTGGTAACAAATTAATTAGTAAGACATCTATGAGCAATAGGGATGTTTCATAGTAACCTTTGAACTTGGACATGCAGGAAACAAATGACAGGAAACAAATTGTTAATACTAGCAATAAACAAGACAAGATTAAGAAAACCCCACTACTGGTTCACAGATCAATAAACATTTTCTTGTCTGAGATTAAAAGACCATAAATGTTTTGGAATTTGATAAGCACAAAAGACTAATTTTATACTAAGGCAATTTTTTAAAAAAAGAAGGCCCATGTGCTTTTCTAGAATGATGATTTGATAAAATGAGAAAGGTATTAAAACCTGAATTAGCATATACACACAGGAAAATGTGTGGTAAATCTCTCCTGCGATATGAGAAAGTATCTTCTAATAAACCAGTAATGTTTTAGTATCTTATCCCATCCTTTGACTATATATTTCAGATATTCAAGGGGGAAGAAATTTTCCAGATTATTTTTAAGTTAAAGAAAAGTTTTGTCTCTGCCACACAGTATCATATAGCTCAAATACTCTTAGCTCCCTCATAGTCTTCTGTAATCTGTTTTGCAACGGAATATGCCATTATACGTTATAGTTTTAATCGTTTCAGATCTTTCTACCAATCTGTCCTCATATCAGTTTCTTGACCTTCAGCTCTAGTCTTTGTCTATTTCTTGTAAGTGGTAGCTACTTCAAGACCTAGTGCTATAATCCAGGGATAAAAAAGGCGGGGATGGGGTGGGGGGTGGCAGGAGGAAAGAAGAGGGTTTTTTATATCCACCACAAAATAGCTTTGATATTTTCTGGAAGATCTCTTTCCCCCCCCCCCGATTTGCTATTATGAAAATCTGCCATTTCCAATTCAATAATCTCACTTAAAAAAATCAGAAAGAGGTTACTGTGCCACAGGATAACACAAAAATAAGCCTGAAAAATCACTTTATTTATAATTTAACTTTATTCTTTGGCCAAACCCCATCCTGCAGTGTCTTAAAGTACCACAACAGAAAGCAAATCTAAAGAGATGCAACTGAGTTCATAAAAACATTCCTACACTCCAGTTTGGCACAAAGCTGTACAGATACTTCAAACTAGCAACAGTAAAAGAGAAAAAGGGACAGCTGCAGTGATGAGGGCCCAGAACACCAAGATAGACTTTTCTGTGGAGTGTTCTAAACATAGTTAATTTAATTCACAAAGATTTCAAGAAGTATTACAGGTATCTTTGCTGCTATATATGTTAGAAGGACAACCCTGTCAGCAGAAAACCTCCAATGGCACATCACATCCTTTCTGATTGATGA